TAAAAAGAGATATTATATATATATATAGATATATATATCTATATATATATATATATATATATATATATTATATATATATATAAAGCCTACCATAAGCTCTAATAAATGATGCAAGAAATATTGTAGCGACATTTGACTGAATTTTGTTAAAACTATGTAGTTTTTATGGTTTTGTATCTAATATTAGGTACATAACAGACATATATATATATATATATATATATATATATATATATATATATATATATATATATATATATATGAGGATATGAAATATACATTACAGCCTCATCTAAGCTTATGTACTAAACTTCTAAATTTTACAGTTTTATCTTACTAAATATAACCGGTTCAGTTTTCACTTGGTAAATATATAATTCTCCATTGCCTTTCTTTCCTCTATTATCGTTTAACAATCCATGTTTTTTTCTTTTATTATCGTTTATTACTTTACGTCAGTGAATATTACTGTTTTGCACCATCACGGAGGTCAAAGATAATGAACATTTTTGCTTTCCTATCAAAATTGTTGTTTCAATATTAAATCTGCAACGTCAAGTGTTAATCATGAATCCCTTAATTACAATCTTTAGCTAGTAAAACGACGTACTATATGAAGTTTAGTACATAAGCTTAGGTTAGTCTGTAATGTATATTCACTTTTGCATATATATATATATATATATATATATATATATATATATATATATATATATATATATATATATATATATATAAAGGTTTTGTTTTTTTTTTATCGAAAACATGAAAACATTGAAGAATACATATTGTATTAGCATATTGTATTGGCGTGATATAAAACGGGAATGTAACGAACATGCTGAGACAATATTTCTATTTTCGTCTCTACCAATAAAATAAAAATGATTTTCTTAAAATGAGATTTTATTCTTTTAAAAAACCCCTAAAGAAAGCAAACGACTATTTTATCCTTCCACTTCGAGAGAAACGATTTTATAAAAGCATTATCATAAGTTAACTAGATTATGACTCGTGTTAAACGCGGGGAAACGCATAAATAAAAAATAAATGTATATAGATATTGCAGAATAATTAAAAAAAAAATAGGGTTATTGGTATTATTGAAATGTATAGAAAATACACTGCAATCGGCAAATATATATTGTCGTTGAAGGACCTCTTTGTAGACAATATTTTTTTATTAGTTGAACGATCTTCCTCGTCACAAAGTAACTTCAAATCTTTTTTTTACTTGTGACACGGGAAACAACTACATATAGCTGACCATACGCGAAAACGAGTCTACGCAAGTATAATCCAACATTTGACAATTTAAGTATATATGTTGCTACAATTTGTAAAAAAACCACATAGTTATTGCAATTTGTAGAGATTGTTGAGTATCGAGTCCAGGTTAATAGGTTACGCATTTAATATGAAAAGTTATACATTGTTGTTTTGTCTGACTTAATCTAGACTGAATGATTTAATATGTTAAGCCAAAATAACCTTATGTAATGCTTTATGAGATTTCAAAAATAGAAACATGATTTTCTTAGTCACAGAAAGCAATCTTTGAATGGTTGTATTTACTGTACACAAATATATACAAATTAGAATAATTATAGTTTAACCCTTTCTAGATTAATTTTTTTATAAAATCCATCCCCTTAATAGTGAATAAAAGATAAATTAAAAGAGACATTTAAAATATGAAAAAATCACAACATGTTATCGTTAAAAATAGTATAATAATGTACTTTAAAAATACATTCCTAAAAATGGTATAATATGAAGTTATTATATTCGACAATAAGGTTAGAAATAGTAACCAAGTTGAGATAATCAAACAAACAGAAATAGTAGCAATAACCGATTTGATCAATTTTTAAATTAAATTACCGATTTGCCCTTCTGATGAACATTGTCCATACTAAATTAATGATTTAGCATTCGGATAAATAATGGAAGTGTCATGCAAAAAGAATCATTTTAGTACATGTGTCATCTTACTATCTATTGTTGAATTGCTTTTACAGCCCAATGTTTTTCTAGTTTCGTAAGTCGAATTACTCTTTTGCCCTTATATTTCCCTACTTAAAGGTTTCCTGCATTTAATTTGCAATTAAATTAAAATAAATCACATAAATTTAGGATTTTATTGATATCTTCAAAAGGTAAATTCGAATCTTCCTTCTTTATTCTATCCCAAATAAAATTACCTTTCTGCCCCTAAACCTTAAAATCATAGTTAGCATTTTTAAAAAAATTCATCCAACAATATCAATAACCTTTAGTTATGATTTCAATTTAAAGTTAGAAATGTTGTAATTCAACCATCATATTAGGATATTAATTTACATTCAAACACTAAAAACATATCTATTTATTCCTATTATACCATTATCCTCAATTTTCCATTCGGTATTACCATATATTTATCTTAACATATTATTTGAGTTCTATATCAAGATTGCAATCCATGTAATTCAGCCAGCAATTTAAGATATTATATACAATCAAAGACAGTAACCAGGTTGAGGTAATCAAACAAACAGAAATAGTAGCAGCTCATGATTTGATCAATGTTTAAATTAAATTACTGATTTACCATTCTGATGAACATTATACATACTAAATTAATGATTTGCCCTTCGGATAAAAAATGGAAGTATCATGCTAAACGAATACATAAAAAATTGATTACAATGTACAGGAAAACGGGTGGGGTGCATTTGTCATTCCATCAAAGTACTTTGATATATTGTGTTTTAACTGGTTTCCATCAAAGTACATTATTTTTTTTCTGGACTAAAGGTATGTAATATATTTTCCTATTTATTTGAAAAGTTTCAGAAAAGTAGTTAAACGATATCATGTAATTTGTGACAAAGAAAATCGAAATATATGAATACATATATTTGATACAGGAACAAAAAAATAATCGAAAAAAATATAAAAAAGCGAAAGAATGTACTGACCTTCTAGTGCACAACAACGAAGGTTTGAAGCAGAGAACGGTGATGAAAGTTATAAGCAATAAGAATGATGTTGTAGGAGAAGGTTTGAAGAAAATCAACGATTGAAAATAAGTGTGAGCCGCGGATTCAGAGATGAATCATATATGTATGTGATAATTTGAATCTGATTTTTTGGTATTAATGGTTTCCTAATAAAAATGGATTTTATATTAATGGTTTCCTAATAAAAATGGTATTAATGGTTTCCTAATAAAAAATGGATTTATATTAATGGTTACTAATATAAAAATGGTTTCCTAATAAAAATGGTATTAATGGTTTCCTAATATAAAAATGATTTTATATTAATGGTTTACTGATTTTTTGGTATTAATGGTTTCCCAATAAAAATGGTTTACTAATATAAACAAATTTATATTAATGGTTGATATTTTATGCCTTAATTGAAATGATTTTTAGTAATATGTTTTTAAAGTTGACCATTTTAAAATCTTGATAACCGAAAATTCAAGATTTAAAATTTGGGAATCTTTTATTAGAATTAAATACAATCCATTTCAATGGATTTAAGTTAATTTTATGGAAAACTCTTATTGGAATTAAATACATTGCATTTTGGGAGGATGATGTCAGCAATCTAAGGGTGGAAAACATAGGATTGAAATACAATCAATGACGCATATTGTTTTAGATGATTTCATAAGATTTTTATTTTAATATATAATAAAGATAACATAATTATCAGTATGCTTATTTAATGACTTTTTTAAAAAAGAAAAAACTAAACGGGTTTGAATTTTGAAGCGAAAAGCTATAAATAAGGGAGTTAAATTACGGAAAATATTAATTAGGGTTAATGATGGCATAGATTGTCAAAAGATGTCTTAAAGGAGATGCATGCTTCAGTTTGTAGAGATTTGTGTGAAACCAAAACAAAGGTGTGATAATTAAAGATGCAAGGAAGAGGCAATACGCAAATTCTAAGAATACATGAGCAAAAAGGAACCACCTTATGGTGCTACATTTTGTTATGAACACACAAAGCATCAATTGAAGCACAACCATTGACATGAGGACGAAGAGTATTAGAGAACTATGGTTTAAGAGAGAAAAATAGAGGAAAAAGATGGGGGCGGCTATTCATGTTTTTTGACCAGATTTATGGAGAAACTGATATCTTATATATAAATAGAATGATATGCTTTAATCGATAACATAATTGCTGATTGTAAAGATTCTATAATTAAATGTAATTGTGCTCGAATTGTGAAATATATTTTAGAAAGTATGGATAGATTCTATAATTAAAGATTTTATAATTAAATGTAATTGTGTTTGAAATGTAATTGCTAAATTTAAATATTCTATATTTAAATGTTTGGATTATAATTTGAGAAGAGGATGTTAGCAATTTGATCTAAGGGTGGAAATCATAGGATTGAAATACAATCAAGGGCACTGATTGTTTTATTTATGAATTAAAGGTTCTCTTTTAATAATATTTAAAGAAAGGCACTGATTGTTTCATTTATAAATTAAGGGTTCTCTTTTAATAATATTTAAAGATAACGTAAGGAAAAGAATTATAGCATATGCGTGTTCTATTCAATTCTTAGTTTATATTTTACTTGATCGTCGGGTTTGTGTTTTTTTTTTTTCCTAAAAATAATGGATAGGGCTTGGAATTCATTACATAAAAGTTTGAGTTTAAATATTAGTCTTAATTTAATGTTTTTATCTACTTTTTGTTTCAAACACATCGATCTGCACCAAAACATTAACCATTGGCACCGAGTATATAATATTAACAAAGAGAGCTTGCAAAGAGCTGAGATCTAATTAAGCGTCTTTCTGTAGTGAGAAGCAACATGAACACGATGGTCACGAACATAAAAGCTAATTAATAATAAAAAAATTCTCAAAATTTTCTCGACAGTGCCTTTTAGGGTAAGCTAACGTGTGTAGAGAGTGGGGGTGCATAAGGAGATGCTATGTACTTGCTGTTTGTATTAGAGCGAGCATTGAGGATTTGGCATTCTAATTCATACAACTGAATGTCCGACTACAGACTAGAAGTTGGCAAAGAGCAGACAACTTTGACTGGAGAAGAAGGCTCTCGGACTGGAGGTGACAGTTTTGAGTGAGGAGGTAGTTGCGATGGTTTACAATTGAGGTCATCTGGGTCTTGAGCTCCCCATTTTCCATTCTTAGTCGTCTAAGCTGATCTGTTAGTTCCTGTAACCGGCGTTTCTTTCGTTGCCTGGACCTCTTGGCTGATTCCCGGTTTGAGATCATTCGTCTACGCTTCCGTTCTTCTTCACAAGACACTGATCCCGAAGCCGAGGTGCAGGTGGAGGGGGTTGGTTGTTGGGGTTGGAGAATATCGTGAATTTCCGCTTCAATCAGATAGTACTGAACTGGGTCTACTTCAAAAGCCATCATGTGTATGCTTGACTTGATCCGAGGGAGAAAGGGGAGAGTAGATGTGTTGAGATAGGGTATTTATTTGAAGCGTTGAAAGCACCTTCTGGTCCCACCAAATGTTTAGACATTAAAGTGAGGGTATTTTAGTAAGGTTCACCAGAAGCATCACGACGTTGTCGACCTCACTAAAGTGCTATTATAAACCTTCAAAGGGGTCCTATTATTTACGCTACAAATTCTTGTAATAGTGCTTGATTATATCTCCTGACACAATAGTATCATAACTGTGGAGCAATTATAATTAGGCTTGGCATGCTATGACCATGGCCAAACATCATCCCCTTCAAAATGCTATCATCCTGGCTAAGGAAGGTTTGCTATGGGTTTAACAACATGAGAGAGGAGAGAGAAACATGAATATTGTGTTCTTATTCGCTGATCAAAATTTATATTTTTTTTTAATTTTTTTTTCTAACATAAAACTCATTAAATTAACAAACTATCACTCCCTACCTTTTTACATTTTGGATGCTAACACACTTCCAACCTATGTGGCTTCAAAAAATATGATGTGACATAAAAAAATCTGATGTACCACTCCCTTTAGTCTTAGGGCTTTGTTTAATGTTTTCTATAATCGTGGAGCAATTATAAAATTTCATTAACCCCCTTTAATCAATACAAAATTTTCATAATACACACGCTACATTTTTTCTACTTTTATAAATTTACTATAAAAACATAGTCTATTAGAAATATGTCTAACAGGTAGGAATGTGTGGGAGAGTTTGTTTGGTTATATCGGACAAAACCTAACCATAACCATTACTATTGATTAATGCATTTTGGTAGCCATATAGTATGGTTAATATTGATTATGGTTAATGGTTTTTTTTTCGGTATGGTTTTGGTTAATGGTTGATATTGATTAGCCATGATGTTCAAAAATGATATAAAAACAGAAAATATATTTGTATAGAAATGAACAAAAGAATACAAAAGAGTCTTGACGGTCAATGTTTGTAACATTTTGAAATGTTTATAGTAATTAACAAGGGCGGATCTTTATTAGGGCTAGGGGGGCTGTGGCCCCCCCTGATTTTTTTTATCACAATTAGTCCCTATACTTTAATTTTATACATATTAAGCCCAAAAATATAAAATTTTGGCTGTGGCCCCCCCTGCTCATCGATTTTTATACATATTATATCCCCCCCCCCCCCCCCCCCAAATAAAATGTTGAAGCTCCGCCCCTGGTAATTAATAGAATAAAATGTGGAACTTTGATACTCAAGTGAGATAACCCATTTTCATATTCAAATTTTAAAACATGCATTAAAAGTATAAAACATTAAGAAACTAATAAGATCAAGTTCGTATATCGAGAATTGATATTAGCATTAAAATAAAAAGCCAAACATTGAAATATGCCGTATGCGATTAAATCAAAAACTGTAAAAATAAAGAGTCAAACATTCATATTATGTTTTATCTAAATAAAAGAGTCAGATATTCATTAACATTCAATGTGATTAAGTCATAAACGATAAATAAATAAATAAATAAAAGCAAAAAACGATCATGAAATACATTCTTAACACATCAAAGCTTTAAATCATAAAGTAAAGAACAACCAAAAACTGAACTTACCTTAAAGTCATGATTAGAAAGTTAAACATCCTTAAAATAGGATTATAAAGACAAGAACAATCTTCAATTATCAGTAACGGTATAAGCAACCTTGGATTAGAATTACCAGTGTTATGATTGAACTGATTGCGAATGATGTTTAAAGATTATAGAAATAGCCTATTAGAAATCACCGAATTAACCAATAGTTTAAACCCAAATCATGACTGGATGATGGTGTGTATCTATGTAATTAATCTTTGATGGTTTGATTGCTCATTGTCTCTTGATAAGAGGAATGATGGATTCTTTTTTGAATTTTTAGTTACTTGGATAAGTTGGTGCATATTACTTTATATATAATCTATAAATTTTAAATATTTAAATTTAAAGTTAATGGTTCGATTAATAATGATATAGTTAACCTATAAAACCATAACCGAACAGTTACTTATCGGTAATAAAAGAACAGAACCCAACCATTAATATTGAAAATGGTTCGTTTATATCTGTTAATTCGCTTTTTCGGTTATTATGTTACCCATGCTAACACAATGAAATACATAAAAAAAATATACATTATCTTTTAACCTATAGCATTATTAGCTTAAACTTTTAAGAAATAAAAAATTTAAATTATTCTTACGAACTTTAATTATTAAAAAATGTCGATTAAACTATCAAGATTTATGCTTTTACAATGTTATTATTTAATATTAATTTTACCAACATTATTTGCCTTATTCTTATATTACCTCCATTAAAAGAGTAGATAGAATTAGAAAAAATAATTTATGACACACACACACACACACACACATATATATATATATATATATATATATATACACACACACAGAGAGAGAGAATCAAATAAAAAAAAATAAGGTAGGAAGGTAAAAAAAATTATATACGTATTTTATAGCAAACCAACAAAATGACTCATTAAATGATTCAAAAAAAACCCCTCCCAAAAAACATTTTCATAATTTATTTTTAAGTAAATCAAGAAAAAAAGTTCATTTTTATTGTAGCTTTAGTGAATAGCAACAAAATCATTGTAAGATGAATCATCAAAATGTTTTTTTTCAGGATTATTATTATTATTATTATTTTTGTGAATCATGTTATTTTGATTCATCTAGTGAGTCATTTGTTTTGTTCGCCAAAAAAATATACCGAAAAAAACTCTTTATCTTCCTACAAAAAAAAAATCTTACCAAATATATTATTAAGATATAACTCACGTGTATATCATTTATTTACCTTGTCAAATGTAGTTATAGATCTCCACTATTATCTACAGTGTATATCTCCTTTTAGTTATTTTCTCACTGTGTACAAATAGGTCATCTGTTTACTCTGTACATTATAATAAAAATTATATACGAGTTCATCTACTTTCTTGCTTTCCTCATATGGTATCAGAGACTGGTTCTGCACCAATCACTCCCATTAATTCACCTCTAATTTCTCCCCCCTCTACTACCAAAAACTCATCAATGGGAGACGGAAGCTCATCCTTCAACGATAACACCATTCTTAAAGACATCACTATAGTCAATTTCCCAGCAACCCTAAAATTGACATCCACTAATTATCTCGGACGGAAAATGCAAATCGAAGCATTGCTACATGGACTCGATATTTACCGCTATATCGACGACACTTACCCGGCTCCACTACCGATCACTGCTGCTGATGGCACTGTCACCCCTCATCTTGACTTTCAAAAATGGTTCAGGCAAGACCGCCTTCTCTTTGGCGCTCTCGTGGGAAGCCTATCCCCACAAATCGTCCCACTGATCACAAACGCATCTTCTTCTCTTGAAGCCTGGAAAACCCTAGCTAGAACTTATGCGTCTCCTTCACGCGGCCACATCAAACAACTTCAGTACCGCCTCAAACAAATCAGTAAGACCTCGAATCAAACAATCACTGACTATATGCAGAATGTCAAAACAATTGTTGATGAGCTTGCTATCCTCGGTAAGAAACTTGATCAAGAGGATCTAATTGATGTTGTAATCAATGGACTTGATCCTAACACCTATAAAACTGTAATTGATGCTATCCACGCAAGAGACTCTACTATTTCATTTAATGAGCTTCATGCAAAACTCATTAATCATGAACTCAATCTTGCACAACAAACCTCAGTCACAGGTATTCATCAACCAACATCTGTTTTCTATACCCACCAACAAAATCAGAAGAAACAATGGCCCTCCAGGCAAGGAAACGAACCAGCAATTTTACTCACTCCTGCCAAACAGAATCCCCAATCCACATGCCAACGCCCCTTCTTAGGCAAGTGTCAATGGTGTCATACCAAAGGACACTCCCTAAGCCACTGTGCCACTTTCAAAAAGCTGTTTCCAAATGCATCTGTACCCTCCCCTCCTAATCGTTTTGTGTAAGTCTCAAATATTCAAGCACACACTATGCATCCAGTAGTACCACACACACCAGAGACATGACATTGGCTGTTTGACAGTGGAGAAAGTTTCCATGCTACAAACGACCTCAACAACCTCTCTGTTCATGCCCCATATGATGGAACTGAATAATTGGTCATCGGTGATGGTTCGTGTTTAAAAATCTCTCATATTTGCTCTCTAATTCTCTATACATCTCACACTCCTCTTATTCTTAAAAATGTTCTTTATGTTCCATCTCTATCCCGTAACATCATCTCTATCTCTCGTCTATGCATTGCCAATAACTTTCTAATAGAGTTCTATTCCTTTGTTTTTGTCATCAAGGATCTAGCAACCAAAATCCCCTTGTTCAAGGGCACAGCAGTCAAGGGCATGTATGAGCTCAAGACATCTCCATCACCAGCCATCTTCACTATGCAAAAGACAGCTCCTTCCCTGTGGCATCACCGACTAGGCCACCCTCAAAATAAAGTTTTCAAACAATTGTCTTCTTCTCTTTCCTTTAATTCTAGTTCCATAGACAATTATAATTCATGTCGGATTAATAAAAGTCATCGTTTACCTTTCCATGATTCCTCTTTGTCATCTACCAAACCTTTACAACTAATCTTTTCTAATGTATGGTGTTCTCCAATAGAATCATATGACCACTACAAATACTATATTATTTTTGTTGACCACTTTACAAAATACACCTGGATTTACCCTATAAAACAAAAATCTGACTCACTCAATATATTCATTTGTTTCCAATCCCTGGTTGTAAACTATTTCCAAACAAAAATAAAGCAACTATTTTCTGATAATGGAGGAGAATACCTAAAACTAGCTACACATCTAGCATCTCATGGTATTTCTCATCTCACCTCTCCTCCACATACCCCTGAACATAGCGGGTATGCTGAACGTCGACACCGACACATTGTCGAAACTGGCCTTTCCCTTCTT